CACACACACACACACACACACACACCCCTCCCATGAAATCTTTGCACCAGAGATATTCAGTATATTTTTGCACTTTATTATAGACATGTTCTTTTTTCTCCTCCCACCCGAGGATCCATTTTCACCCCCTTGAAGCGTACTATTTCTCCAGTGAGAACACACGCGTGTAGGCTTCATTATCTCAGAGAGAGGTACTAACTCACCCAAGGTCACTGAGACAAAGGAGGAGGGCAATAGCCTGTCCCCAACCATCAGACACTAGAGCCCGAGTTCGATCGTGTCCACTTCCCAAGATTGGCTGAACAAGTGAGGAGAGGGCAGGAAACACACTGGGACACCCTCGAACCACTCGAAGATCCCTCAGGGGGTTCCAGGTAAGAGCACCAAGAGAGAGAAAACTGATTGAGACTATTCTTTGGCCAACAAATGCAACACCTAGGACCGCATCTCCGGGGGCTTGTCTAGCTCAGATTCCACTCACCGACTCAGGAGCTTGTTTTCTAAGGGTGGGTGGTTTCTACTCTCCCCAAAACTCATGGCCATCATGTCAGTTCTGACTCCTAGTGGCCCCACAGGGTGGAGTAGAACGGTGGATTTCTGAGACTATTTCCGGGGCTAGCAAGCCCCTCTTTGTCCCAGGGAAAGGCTGGTGATTTCAAACCCTGTGGTTAGTAGCACAACACGTAGCCCACTGTGCCACCAGGGCTACTGGGTCTCTACTACAGGCTGTCTGTTGGACTCTCTGTGGAACATTAAAGACAGGGCAATGGCTGTCCCTGCCCTATCCCACAATCCTGAGAGAACTGTGCAGGTCTGTCTGCATTAAGGACACCCATATTCCTTGAAAGCTCCCAGGATGAATCTGCTACCAGGTCAAGACCCAGGACCTCGGACAACACAGGGCTTGCCAAGATGCCAGACCCCCGCACTTCCTGGTCATTCGTAGCACAGAGAGGAGGCAAGGGCTCAGCATGCAAGGAACTGCTACTTCTGAGCCCACAGATAGGACCTTTGTAATGGTAGGCATCAAAATCCCTTTTCTTGCCCTCATAACACTCAGATGCTCTGTGACATTGGGAAAACAGCCTGGCCTCTTTCTGCCTCGATGTCTTCACCTGAGAAATAGGGGCAAGGAGTAGGGCTAAGCTCACAGGAACTACAGGTCTGGTGACGAGGACTAGATCAGGCCATCTGTGGTGTCAGATGTAGAGAAAGGCTTGTGCCCGAGTGTGCACTAGTGGCACCCTTATTCCTGTAGTGGAGCCCTGGTGGATTATGGGTTGGGCTGCGGAGTACAGGATTGGCAGTGTGACATCACCACTTGCTCTGTAGGAAAAAGATGAGATTTTCTGGTCCCATAAAGACCTGCAGTCTCAGAGACCCACGGCGGCAGTTCTCCTCTGTGCTGTAGGCTCCTTAGGAGCTGGAATCAACTCAATGGCAGCAAGTTATTCCCGGAACTCTGGCATTCAGGTAGCTACCGTTCCCTGCTACATTCATCCAGCGGGCATTCTGCCTGCCTTCTGGGTCCTTCCACCTCTTTCTAGTCAGGGACCCCTGCTCAGGTCCGCTGGGCTCTGTGCTGTTGCCATGGTGATGGTTCCTGGTTACTACTGGTGTCTGCACTCAGGCTTAAGGCAGGAGGCTGATGGTTCTGACTGTGCCTTGCCCATTTCCGAGTCCTGCTCTCTCCTCTGTTCTTAACAAAGAACACCCCACCTAGCTCACCTGCGAGGCTGGGGAGGGAATATGACATCAGAGGAACCGAAAGGCAGAACTCCACTTGGAGCAAGCGACTCCACAAAAGGGCGGGGGGCGGGCGAACCATCTTGAAATGCATGCAGATCACATCACGCAAATCTAAGAAACCAAGGGGTCTCAAAACCAAGATCCCCTGCTGAGTGGTGAACATTTGTGACTTCATGGGGCCCCCACGTGGTCTCTGGGAGGTGGTGGGGCCTTGTTTCTTCCCTCTGGAAACGGAGGCTTGCTTAGCAAGATGAAATGAGTGCCTGAGAGGTACCTAGCTGACCTCGGCCCCAAGCTACTGCTCACTTCAAGGCTGCCCGATTCCAGGGCCCACACCCCACCCTCTATCAGCACGGCCAACGCGCCTGCGAGGACGACTTCCTTCCTTTGGTCCTTCAGATACTGCCATCTGGACGGTGCCACCCGATGGCACACCATTCTGCCATCGTGTGCAATCGGCTGTCTACTTAATACATTTCTTTTCGAGTCATTTTGTGTAATGGCATAAAAGCGTGTGAAGGTAACTTTGGTGAAGGTACCCGCCGGAATGCCAGGTCATTGTTTCTAGCATACAGTGAAATCAATGCAGAGTCAGCAGCCACGACAGCACAAAGCTTGTCCTGCTATTCTGAGTCGAATGGTGTCCCCCTCACATGGGTGTTAAAGGAGGCCTGGTGGTGCAGTGCTAAAGCACTCGGCTGCAAACTGAAAGGTTGGTGGTTGGCACCCAGGAGCCGGTCCATGAGAGAAAGGTAGGGCAGTCTGGGTAACCCTACGGG